TGTACATCCAAACTTGCTCGCAGCTTTATTATTTGTCTGTGTAACTTCTGCTTGGGTATTTAATGTACACCCAAACTTGCTCACAGCTTCTCTTTGCTTGCGTAACTTTTGCTTGGATATTTGTGTACATCCAAACTTGCTCGCAGCTTTATTATTTATCTGTGTAACTTCTGCTTGGGTATTTAATGTACACCCAAACTTGCTCACAGCTTCCTTTTGCTTGCGTAACTTTTGCTTGGATATTTATGTACATCCAAACTTGCTCGCAGCTTTATTATTTGTCTCATAACTCTTGTTAGACTTGTGCATCTTGTAATTGAATTCCTCTGCTTGGAGCTTTTTGGCCTATGTGGCCTTCTCCCAAAAGTTTCTCAAGAGAAAGATTAGTTTTCTTAAAAACACAATAACTTGCATGATTATTGAGGTTAAAAATTAGAAAATTAAAAAGTAAATATACTTAGCTGGGATCGCAGCTTTCTTTTAAGATTTGTGCATGTAGAATCTTGAGATGTCTATCTTGCCTTGCAAATGCAGAATTTGATTCATCATTTGATGTGGTTGAATGTGATTGTAACAAAGTTTCTTCAAATATGGAGGTAGTTGTATCTTGATTGTTTTCTGTCTTTGGTACTTTCATTATCTATATCTTTTTCTATTTTCCGCTTTCTTTATGAATTTGATGTTTCTTGTGCTTCTTTTACTGCTGCCCTTTCTTCTGCTCTGATGTATCCTTCCGCCTTTCTTAAGAGATCATTAAGGCTGGTGGGTTCTCGCTTGTTTAGAGATTTATAGAAACTTGCGTCTTTAAGTCCGTCCATTAGAGCATGCATTGCCACCCTTTGGTCCAATCGTTCTACTTGCACAGCTTCATTGTGAAATCTTGCTATGTAGGCTCTTAGTGACTCTCTTATTTTTTGTTTAATTGTTAGGAGATGATGGTTAGTCTTTCGGGGAGCTTTGCTAGCAGTGAAGTGATTGATGAACATGTACGCAAATTGATCAAAGGTCTGGATAGATTTTTATGGTAATGTTGCGAACCAAGCCTGCGCAGCTTTCTTGAAAGTTGCTGGGAACTGCTTGCATAATAGGGCATTCGAGGCTCCATATACCATCATTGCCATTCTATATCCTTGCACGTGCTCCACTGGGTCTTGAGTTCCATCGTACTCAGCTAGTTGTGGAGTTTTGAAGTTTGATGGCACAGGTTCCCTGATGATGTCGTCTATAAAGGCTTTTTCTACTGAAGCTGTGTGCTGGTTCTACATACCTTTGCCTGCCTGCTTCTATCTTTGCCAGATGTTGTCGCAACACCTCAATTTCTTTGTAAACACCATCATCATGAAACTGTGTTTCTATCTTTTGTGGACCTGCTGCCATGAGTGTGGCTTCTTGGATTTGTTGGCTAGCCTTCCTTTGGTTTGAATGTGTACGAGGTATCATGTTTTTACTCCGAAAATTGTATTGAGTGAAAGCTGAGGATGGTTGTAAGCTCGTGTCGATTGTCAACTCTGTCGAT